CCTTACTCTAATCCATATAATTCTACGTTTATTTAACATTACTTAAATATTTTGTAATTAAAAACTTTTGGAAAAAAAAGATTCTGTAAATAATTCTTCTCATAAGTTAGAGGAAATTCGCGGGTAATGTGAAATACTCTTATAAATAGAACCACAGCGATATCTAGAATATTAAGTGTAACAATCTAGCGGACAGCAGTGGAATTACTATAGCCGGCCCTATAATCTAACATTCTAACATACAAAGTGGCAGCGTGGCACAACGTGTCGTTAAATAGCAAATTAAAATTGAAAATTTGGCGTGTACCGCATACAGCGTAAGGTTAGTATATAAACTTTTATTTTACAGTTTATCTACTTAATCAATTCTTAATCGATTTTTGTTGCATGTAAAACTAAGATAGAATTTTAGTGTGATATACTTAACAAGTTTCACATGGTGTACAATTCTCATATGGTGTACATTGTATACGATAAAAAGATAAAATAGTAATGTCGGACAAGGCGAGATAGTTTATAATCCGCCACTTTATTGTATTTTAAGTATTGTATTTTATATTGTATTTTATATCTATTGTTTCTTTCTTTAGGTGTAATATTATTATGATAAGTAAATATTAATGAGTATATATGAGTAAAAGTTTTAAACGTGTTACATACATTTGTATGGCATTGTTACAAAAAGCATACAAATTTTTTTTGTAATTTATTATAATATAATAAATATATAATATAATAATTATTGTAGACTATTTATTATTAATATGTCTTAAAATAGAATAAAAATTACTTTTTTTGCAAGATTAATAAAGCGATTCACCTTGCCCGACATGGTTCACCTTACCCGACAAAAATCTACCTTCGAAAATTTTGCTGTAACATTAAACTCACTATAAATAAACGAAATTGGGAACACGTTGTAACAAACATTTGGCATCACAACTCAGCGTAAATAAAGTTCAGCTATCTTTCAGCTTCTCATAGTTTTCAAATTATATTGAAAAAGGCTTAGGCTTCCTCTACAGTTTTGCAACATTTTTATCATGCCATCAATATATTATATTTGCATTTTTAAATACAAACCCTGTTTAGATCATCCTCCATGTGTGTGATTTGGTAACATACACTTCGCATTCTTTTTGCACAATTGCGAATTTTGGATTAACAGCTGCGATAGATATGTATATAAAATAAGATATCTACATACATTTTATATACATATCTACAATGTATTAAATATATTTATTAAAGATATTATATAAATCCAGTCCACAATAGCAATGATATTTTATTACAAATTTACACCAAAATTACATACCAAACGCACAGTTATTTAAGTACACAAATTATATATATAATTTTAGAATTTTTAATAAATAGCTAATTACACACATATATACATATATGTGTGTGTGTATTTATATTTAATAAATGATATATGAATATATCAATCGTTGCGTACAAAATGTCTACGCGGAATGTATAATACTTTTATCACATTATTACAAAGTAATTAAGATTATGATAAAAATTAAAATTACAGATTTTTAATAAAATCACTGATATCTAATTGATACCAGTGCAATTTTTGCAAGATTAAAAAAAAACGAAAAATATGATACAACCTAATCATTGCGACATTAATGATTATGTCGCTCTTTTTGCATTATTTTACATTTAACCAATCTTGCTAAATTTTTGAAAATAAGAAATAAGAATTAAAAGACTATACAATAATATGCTATAAAAAAATTTACAAAGTGAGCAAGGTTTCGTTAAGAACGTTTCGAGGAGTGAACAAGAATAGTTCACGATGATCGTAATTGATGCTAAACCCAACACTTCTCACACAGCATACATATCAAAAAGACGTCCAGAAGATATCCCGAAGATATATTTAGACGATGGGATATCTTCAGGATATCTTCTGAACGTCTTTTTGATATGCTTGCTGTGTGGGATTCTCTTGGGAAATGTCGCTCTATAATTGTTTCTCCGCGCCAAATACCTATTTTTTGTTACAATGAATTTAGCAACTGTAAAACTATTTCTTTTTGTAGCCATACGAAGAGATCGCTGCAACAGAAAAAATATCTCTCTTATCGACAAGTTTCACTGGAATACATTTGCGTCTCCAAAATAGCTTTTGAACTTTATTTTCAATTGCGTTATCTGGTTACCATTGCGAGATGAGTGATAAAGTTTTCCTTTGGACTTACCTTCGTATTCCTTGTCGACTTGTATTAGCAATGAGTACCATTGGGGTCCGTCTATCGTTTTCATTTCCAGCGTACCGCCATATTGCGCCGGTAAACATTTCGGCGATATATATTGATGCAATGATTTGCGATCAGTGCCGTGAAAGATTATCTGGCGGAAGAAAGATATAAAATCCGTTTAGAAAATCAAATCGTAAATTTTTGATATTTACAGGAAGATAAATCCTATTTTCTTCATGAAGAACAATTGATATTTTAATTATTCCAATTAAAATATCAATTGTTCTTCACAAAGAAAGTGGGATTTATTTTCCTGAATATCAAATATCAATTGTTCTTTCACGAAGGATGTAGCCAAATCTGCCGCAAAGCGTCATCTGCTACAAATTTTGTCGGCAGAAACATAACAGAATCTGCTAACCGAATATGACTGCAGAAACCTAGCAGAATTTATTATTGACAATCATTTAAATGATGATATACTTCACTTAAACGACTAAATAACAGATTCTGCTCGGTTTCTGCTATTCTTATACTCAGTAAATGATCTGCTCGTAGTATGACAATAGATTGGCAGCAGATTTTACTTCGATATAATTTGACAGATTGTCGGCGAAAACCGAGCAGAATCTGTTATTTCCTAAACATTTACATTTAAATAGAATACATCATTTAAATGGCAGATTTTACTCAATTGTTGCAATCAATTTGCCGTTATATACTGTATAGCAGAATCCGTTATATTTCCGCTGGCATACTATCAACAAAATTTGCAGCAGACATTATCAAAATTTGCTCTCGACAGAGCTATTTGGCTATTCGGGCAATATACTCACCCTGGTCTTCAACTTCTCCTTCAGGAACGGTTTGAACAGCGCGAACACCATGTTGAACACATACGGCTGGTTCACGATGTGTATGTTCTTGATTCTGACGGGCATCGCCTCCTGGAGCAGATCGACTATTCTCTTGGCGAACGGCGGGGTGAACTGCCAGGTTTGCTGGAGGGTGAGACCGTCCATGTCGAATATGACGACCGCGCCGGCAATCTGCGTGCTCGGCTCCAGCATGGCCGCCTCCAGATACAGCACGCATCCTTTGTAGACCTCGTCGAGACTGCACTTATTGTGCTTCCATTTTTTGCCGAGCTCAATTATCAGTATACGCCGGCCGTGCTGGTCGCGATTAGGCAGCACGGTCAGGATGTTATGCTCGAAGATATTCTGCTCCCTGCTTGGCTTCAAGTTATCGTACACGGACGCATGCTTCACCTTGAAGTTGTAATAGTGCTTGATGAGATCAACCGCCGATTCGGGATAGTACTTGCACGGCCTTAAAAACCTGATCAGCCAGGCCTCGTTGTCCAACGGGCATTTCAGATCCTTTTCGGCTGCCAGATAAAGAGAATTTTAAACGTTTTGACGCAAACGTTCGAGAAGTTTAATAAGATGTTTACGAAAGATGTTTTTTAAACGTCTCCGGCGAGAAATATCGTGATAATTTATTTAAGCATTTTAAAGATTAAGAGCTCAAGGCTTAAACGCTCAAACGTATTTAGCATGCGTTATTGACATTTACAATATAATTTGCATCTCATTTTATATTTTTCAGACATTTCGTAATCTTTACATTAATTTACCAGATCTTTCACATTTAGCACGCTACCTTTTAATAATTCCTGCAGGCGTGCAATCGACTGTTTTTGTAGCTCCGGAGATTCTCTCAATTCCTTCCTGGCGACTTCTTGCAATTCCGGACTAGGAGGACCTAGCTCGAACTCGAGCGTGAAGTCACCGATTTTTATGAACGGCACTTCGGTGAGATCCGACAACATGATACCTGAAAAAGTAATGCAACATGTTAGCAAGACTTTTAGCCAATATTTGTCCAATTTTCCTTTCACAGATATTCTCTATATAACAGCAACAGTAAACACTCGTAGATGTTTATGGGAACAACAAATAACTAATTTGTGCTACTTTATTAACAAATCAAGTTGTTAATGATATTAATAGTGTAAAAGAAAAATTTTGCAAACGATATTATCTCTATACTTATCTCTATTTATCTCTATTTATCTCTATTTATCTCTATTTTTACAGACACTTTATCTCTATTTATCGGTTAAACATAAAAAGATAAAAACATGAAGAGTAATAAATTTTTACTTAGATCATTTATGTTAGACTTTTGTTATACCGCACACTCTCTATTTTAAATGCTGAAGCAAGTCGATTTTTGTTCATAACGTATTTTGTGGATATACATGCAATAATTACCAACACTGCATATACGCAACATATACCTGTTTTAATATCACGCGAACGAACCGCGGAAACAACCAAGTCTCTCAAGGAGTCAAGCGATACTGCCAATCGATCGGTAAAAATCGTTAAAAGAAACGAGTATTACTCGTCGTCAGCTCAGAACGATCATTAATTAGTGCATCATGAATGCAGTGACGCAGCCGACTGACTCCGGAGGCTGTGGAATAAAAATCTCCGCTGCTCGGCGCGTCACGTTCGCGCGGACAATCATTGGAAACGTGACTCAGCTACGTTATTGGAAACATTTGAACAGAATCATCCTGTGGTCAGATAATTATTCCGCGAGCTACCAAATAACTGTAACTACGGTACATTTCTACAGCGTGGCATAATAAAAAGATATCGCACTGTAATAAAATTTTTATTGGATAAACATAAAGTTAAAAAGGTATCATAAAATTTTTAAATGTAAATCAACTATAAACTATTATTACTATCAAATGTCAATTATCGTTTATCATATTTATCCAATATTGACAAAAGGAGCGAAAGGAATTTGTGAAAGACACATGTATATTGGCTGAGTTTCGATATTCACTGTCAGTAATAGAAATCTATAATTTACGTCACGTATACCTATACTATAAATTTCCAGTACTGGCAGTGAAAAACGAGACGCACAGCCTATATTTATTAAAGTTGAAAAAAGTACGACGAAGAACAAAATCAGCGCTGTTTAAATATTGTCTCTGTTGAGTCACACATAGATTTGTTTCCTCATGATGAAGAAATAGAGAAAAAACGAGGTTTATTCCATCGCTGTAGCGCGTATATTAATCACAGTACAATTTTGTCACGTATCCTCGACCTATGCTCTTGGCCACTGACTCTTGAAAGATCATTGGTTAAACCTAACCAGACAAGTTAAGAACTTCAACAGATTATGAAAGCTGTCTGCATAAGAAGCTATAAATGCCTCAAGGAAGTGGCATTATTACTTGCTGACAACACTCGACGCTTTTTACCGCATGCAATATAATATTATTATCATCATTCCTACGTGATATGAATCGAGATCGATGTCGCAGAGAGAGAGAGAGAGAGAGAGAGAGAGAGAGCGAGAGAGAGCCTTGAAAGTAAACCTTGACTCTGCAACTAAAAGGAAAATAATGTAATTTTTAGCAAGGTCAACTTGCGTAACTTTAAAATCTTTCCACTCTTTCAGACCTTTCATCTCTTTAGAGCGCGACCGAGAAGCACCATTTTCTTTTCACAAAGTTTATGCTGTTCTGACGAAGTTGTAAAGCGTTCGCCGAAACGATGCAACAACGGAACGAATGTGTGCAACGTTATATGTGCGCCGAAAAATAACATTACGCAACACAGTGAGTAATAACACACGCGTTTGTATGCCGCTCGGTACGCGCTCGTTTGATACACTGATGATAACGTTAGTGCAAACTAGACTAGTGCATTACCGCGGGCAGTTCCTGTCGGCCGTAAGCCGGCCTTATCGCGCTTTTAAACATAAGTGTGCACACGAACGACGTTTTTTTATATTTATTCTAAGCACGCCCGCGAAAGCCGAGAAACTGTACCTATATGTCGGTGCGCGTAAGCAGCGTAACGTATTACGTAGGGCGAATATCAGAATTTGAGATGAAGAACTTGCTGTGAGATAATGTGTAAACGCGCGTCCGCGCGTTACGCCACGCGTCTGAACTTGCGATTTTGCAGGATGCAATTATGCAACGCCTGAGCCGAACGTTATTACACGGCGCGCAGGAGGATAATTTCGCGGTGGCACGCGAGACCCGCCGCCCCCGCCGTCTCTATTTTCCGCGGCCGTGAAGATGCGGTGCATCGTGCGGCGATGGCATCGCAAATTAGCTCGGAATCTTGACCGCGCGATCGCATCCACGTGAGAATTAATTACGACGTTGTCCTTACGTTGCAAATCGATAAAAGCCGGACAATGCCGACGCGATTTCCACGGTATATATATATATATATACTGTGTGAAGTGCATGCTCCGCATGTTCGCAATTACACGTTCGAAAGAAATAGCATAGTCATTATTTATGTCGGCGAAGAAGTTCGATTCGATTTTTTTTCTCCGCATGCGATATAAATTACGTAAAGCTGGCGCGATTAATCGGAAACGGAAGGAACGAAGAGTTATCGGGATTGTAAGCGTGGAATTTTTCGCAGTTTTTTCGTAAGTTGTTGTTCGGCATGCGTGAAGATCGAATCTCGCCCTTGTTTGTATGTAATCCGGTTTCTACAAGTTTCTAAAGATTTACCGCGTTCATCAATGTTCTCTTACGCGGAGAATTACCGCCGGTATAAACAGAAAAGTACATAATATTACCTGCAAGTAAATATTACTCGTTTTAAGTAGGTACTTGATAAGTTTATATACCCGTAAATCTACCGTAAAGTTATCACAAGCATCATATTTACTCAAAACATATTCTGGATCTTAGCAAGTGTATAGTACTTCAAACAAGAATATTTAATTAATACTAGAATTCGGTTTACTTACTATGTAGAGTCTACGGAAGAGAGAAGCATGTACTTAAGTACATAATATTCTTGGAAGAAGAGTAAATTTTTCTTCTGAGCAACTTTTCTAAGACTTGTGTCAAGTATATATTAAAACTACACTGAGAGAAATTTTTTGCTGTATTAGCAAATTATTTGTCAGTA